AAAAAAAAAAAAAAAAAAAAAAAACACATACATATACCTAAATCATTCAAATGCATCCTCGGCAGATTGTCGGGGTTCAAGCTCCTGATAAGTCGGTGAAAGTCCAACGAAACAGTCTGGCACAATCCGAAGTGTGGCGGTCAAGGAGCTGACCCGTAACTTTGAAAAAAAACAATTACTCTACGACACTCTACTCTGCTCTAGAACATTCTACTCTATGACACTCTACGGCACCCTACAACACTCTACTCTGCCATTCTCTACTCTACTCTACAACACTCTACGACACTCTACTCTACTTCACCCCTCTCTACTTCACCCTACTCTACTTTACTCTACTTTATTCTACTGTCCTTTTCTCTCCTCTCCGAGAGAAGGTTAACAACAGTCGTATTTTTCATCACCACTTCAGGATGCAGCTTGCCTAAACAAGTGGTTTTCAGGGTTTTCAGACCTTTCACCACTTCATGACCATTCAGGTCTGAAAATCCTAAATGATCCTGAAGTGGTGAAAGCTCCGAAGACCCTGAAAATTACCTGTTTAGTCAGACTGCATCCTCAAGTGGTGAAGGGTGGTTTTAATGGTCTTCAAACCTTTCGCCACTTCATGAGCATTCAGGATTTTCTGACTGCCAAAAACTCTCACTTGACCACTTCAGGACACCCTTCACCACTTCAGGATGCAGTCTGCCTAAACAGGTGGTTTTCAGGGTCTTTAGAAATTTCACCACTTCAGGACCATTCATGATTTTCAGATTGCCGAAAACTCTCAGTTCAGAATTTTCATTCCTTAATTTTCAGCTACCCGATAACCGCTTGTGTCCTCTCGAACACTCGATTGTACTCTACTCTACAATAGTTTACTTTACTATACTCCACTCCACTCCACTTTACTCTACTCCACTCTACTCTACGACACTTTATCACACTCCATTACACTTTACTCTACATAACTCTATTGTACGACCACTCTAGTCTACTGTACTCTACGACACTCTACGACACTCTACTCCACTCCACTGCACTCTACTCTATGACACTCTACGACACTCTACCACACTCTTCCATACTCTACATAACTCTACTGTACGACTACTCTATTTTACTTTACGACACTTTACTTTACGACACTCTACTCTACGACACTCTACTCTACTATATGACGCTCTAGTCTATGACAATCTGTTGTACTCTATTTCATGACACTCTACTCTATGACACTCTACTTAATGACACTCTACTCAATGACACTCTATTCTATGACACTCTACTCTAGGAAACTCTACTATACATACTCTACCCTACTTTACGACACTATACTCTACTCCACTCTGCTCTACTTTACTCTATTCTACTGTACTTTATTTCACGACACTCTACTCTACGACACTCAACTCTACGACACTCTACTTTACGATACTCTACTCTACGCCACTATACTCTACGACATTCTACTCTACGACACTCTACTCTATGACACTCTGCTCTACGACAGTCTACTCTACTCTACTTCATGACACTCTACTACGACACTCTCCACCTTGGCAAAGGCTCGAAGAGCAGACGCTTCGCGTTTGAATCCCACGGGCTCGTCAGCAGAGTTGCTCCGTCCAAGAAATCACAGGAAACACTTCTTTCACAAACTCGTTTTGTAATACAATCTCACAAAGCTTCCGTTGTACACAGACTCATCATTGCTTTGGTTCCGTTGATTTTAGGTTGGGGAAACTACTTTAAGTTTTCGGAATTCTATGCAATCTTTCACCTTACGTATTTCAGGATATTTCACCAACTTCGAGTGTTATCTGTCGCGAGAGCGGTGACGTGCGTCTCCCCTGCCAAAAAGGCTTAGCGAGGTCGGTCATGTTTTCGTATAGCTTTCCGTGAATTAGCATCCGGATATGTTTGATATGACATAAATAAGTCTACTTGTTAGTTTTTCATATATGCATTTGTTATTTATCT